GTGTGTGTGTGTGTGTGTGTGTGTGTGTGTGTGTGTGTGTGTGTGTGTGTGTGTGTGTGTGTGTGTGTGTGTGTGTGTGCCTCCCTCTCTACGTTTCGCTCCTTGCCACAGCACGGCTATGAATAGACCGGGCTGCGGTTTAGTTACGTTCCAAACACGTGAGGTGTGGGTGCACAGGCAAAGGAAGAGAAAACGCGTGCGGGCTCCTCGCTCTGTCTCTGTCTCACTCTTTTATACTGTGTGCAATGTGCGTACAGGGTTTCACCGTGATGTGGCCATGAGAGGAGGAGGAGGAGGAAATTGTGGGTTGAAGCGGGGGACAGAAGAGCCATCCCCGGTGGCCTCGCACGCCGGCGCGTTAGAAAGAGTCGCAACGATACAAGCAAGTAAGCCATAGTCGATTCCATTCCTCTCGCGCAATACTTAGCGCTTTTTTCAATCGCCTTCTTTATTCCTTCCTCGCCTCTCCTGCTTTGTAATTTGCCCTGCCGCAGCACCGGGGGCCACAGCGTCAATCCATCCAGCGCTGTGCTCCATCATTGCGCCCGTGTTTTTTTTTTTGTGTGGGGAGCTCACCGCCTGCGTTGCCCGCCGCGGCAGCTCCCCCCCTCCCCCTGCTCCTGCTCCCGCTGCGGGATCGTCAGCAAGACGTTCCGCGCCACCTCCATGATGTGCTTAAACCGGTCCGGGCCAAGGAGAATGCCGCCAAACCAGCGCGTCACAACCACCAAATAGCCGTCCACCTTCAGCTGCTCCAAAAGGAACAGGATCCGCGCCGCTGCCCCCGTCTCGCCGTCGTCGTCGCTGTCGAGGTGCACCACACCGGCGGCGTCGGTGAAGCGGTAGGCGTAGATGGCTGGGTGCGCCGCCTCCGCAATGTGTTTCTGACGCCGAAGATGCTTCACCACCGCCCGCACAGCCTCCTCCGAGTCGACGCGCGCCATGTGCGCCACAAACTTCGACTTGCGATCGGTGATGGCATCGCTGGCCCACACCTCCACCGACGAGGTCTCTCGCACGGCAAGGGCCAGCTGCGCGTCCGACTCCGTCGCCTCCCGCCGCTCCTGCGCCTCCCGCACCGCCGCTTCACGCGTTTGCTGCAGTTCACCTGCCATGTCCTGCGCAAGGGTGAAGATGTGCAGCAGCATCGGCCCACCAAGCGGCACCTCCTCGCGGAGGGCCCTCGTTAGTTGGGACAAAAACTGCGTTATGAGAGGCGCGTTCGGCCCCGCCGCGACGAAGAGCGAGGGGTGTGCGGCCTCCGGGTACCCGCGCGGCGGCACAGTGACGTGGAGCACGAAGCGGAAGGGCAACGCGAGGACAAGCGTCGACGGGTGGGTGGGGTCCCTCCTCGCCTCGTCGGGGAACATGGAGAGCAGCATGTCCATCTCCTCCGCGGCGTCGTCTGGCGCCGCCATGGCGGTGCCGCCCCCGCCGAGAGAGAAACGCCCTGCTGCCTCTTCACCGCCTGTGAGGGGTGACTGAGAAGAAAACAGGGACTCGAAGCAATAAAGGCAATAACAACAAGGAAGGAAAAAAAAAGGAATAAAGTGAACAAAGGATCGCAAGGGAAAGGAGAGAGGAACTCCGCCACAGCCAAGGCGCCCACAGACGTTTATTTCTCCTTCCCCCTCTCCTCTCCGACTTTTGTTTCAGGCAGTGCAGTGACACCCACCCACACACGCACACACACGCAGAGTAAAATTGAGAGAAACGCGAGTTCAGTTGGTGGGTCACTCTTTCATTAAACTAAAAGAGGCAACTAAACAAAAAAAAGTAAAAAAAACATTTATGCTGCGTGTACGGGGGAAATCTACCCTGTGCGTGCCGCACAGATTTTTAGGCCGCCACACCTTACCCCTCGAGGACTGCCTTTGCTTTTTTTATCCCCCACAGTTTAAATTTTTGTGTGTGATGTGTTATATTTATTATTCCAACCCCAGGCTGAGTCCTTTTGAGCCAACCCGTGTCTTCTGGTGTCCTCCCGCTCCACGCTCTCTCTCTAACTCTCTCTCTCTCCGTTCTCTTCCCCGCTGCCCCTTACTTACCGCGTGTACAATGTGTGTGCATGTGAGCTAGTTTGCTTGTGCGTATTTGCATGTCTGCATGCACGTCAGAATTACTCCTCCTGCGGTGCCCTAGTGCGGCGGACTACTTGCTGCTCGCCTCCCGCTCCTCCCTATCCTCCAGCTTGCTGTCGATATCCAGCATCGTAGAGGAAAGGTGGTTCAGCACTGTTGACACTTCACTGCGGAACGTTGCCTCGTTTGCCATCAGCTGACGAAGCTCACCTACCTGCTCCACAAGAGAGCTTTGTTGGGTGAGTAGGGCGTCCAGCTTCTTTTCGAGATCCGAAAAATTGATGTCAGAGTCTGCTTTAACCGCTGCTGCGGCTACTGAAGTGTCTTTATGCTCCTGCATTTTCCCACTTACTGTAGTAGTAGTAGTAGTATTTGTTGTTGTTGTTGATGCTGGCGTCGGCGGCAGTGGGGCGGGCGTCACGAGCGGCTCCGGCACCGGCAGCTGGTTGTACACGTACCACGCCCGCTTCATACCGTACTCAGCCCGCGTGGGCTGATGGTTGCAGCGCGGCAGCAAATTTCTCGTTGTGATGCTCACGCGATACGACTTCTTGACTTCTGTGATACTGGGGTCCTGCAGGAGGTGGCGGTTGACAAGTTTCCCCGCGACGTCGGGCGATAGCTCGTCCACCTCACGATCCGAGGTGCCGTGTGGGTGGTAGTAGTACGCATCGCCGCGGAAGAGCAGCAGCGAGCGCGGCTCCATCACGACAAACTGCAGAGGCTTCTCCACAGCTATGCCGGTGTCAAAGCGGAAGGTGTCATTGTAGTGCTCCATGGGCTGCGCATACGGCTCCCGTCGGGCGTAAAAAAACATGACGCACGGGGAGTTCAGCGACAAGACGGAGACAAGTGGAACGTAAATAGGCCCATCACAGTGGGCGCCGATGCCCTCACCGACCTGGTACTCGTGTACGCGGACGCTGTTGGGGAACGTGCTCGGGGTAAAGATACCATCATGCAACAGCATGTCGTTACAGGCATCCACCCACGGTGGCATGTTCCTGTCGGCAACGAAGCTCTTGTTGCACTCCTCACACATGGTGCAGCCCCACTCCTGCACAGTACGCTTCTCCAGCTGCGTCTTTAGCTCCTTTGGTGTGTCCTTCACAAGTTGCAGTATCTGCTGCTCCTCGTCCTCCGAAATGTAGTTGGGGATGTAGTGAAGACCGGGAACGTCACCCACGTGGTAGGGCTCCAGTGAGAGGTGGTGCGGCTGCGCGCGGCCGGGGTCACCGCTCGCCTCACGCGCCGCCTGCGACCGCCGCAAATGTGAGGTGAGGACAAGTGGCTTGGGAAAGACCTCGTGGAAGATGCTCTGCAGCTCCGCCCTGGGTTCCCACGGCTTGGCGCTCGTGGCGGGATCCCACGGGGAGAGTTTGGCGGCGTTGAACTTGCCGCTTGTTCCGTCCTTCTTGCGCCACGTCGCGACCAGCGAAAAGGTCGCGTACTCGCCGGAGGTGGACTCCACACGCTTCAGCAGGCCGGTGACCTCCAGCGCGGTGGGGGCGTAGGGCGCCATGACGCTCGTCACCGGGTACGTGTAGGACTCCAGCTGGAGCGAAAAGGCGGTGCCGGCGGTGCCGGGCTCCGCGACTTCGATGCGCCCGACGCCGAAGCCGAGCCCGTTCGCCGGCCGCAGGTAGACCATACGATCGTGGTCGACGAAGAGCTCCCCCTGCAGCTCCTCCGTCAGCACCAACCACGGGCCGTACACGTCGCGCACAAAGTCGAGGTCCGTCACGGGGCTTGTCACCAAATCCCTCACGACGTCGTCCGCGCCCACGTCCACTCCGCCGTCGAGGGAGAAGTTCGGGGTGGAAAACTCAAAGCCAGACATCTTCGTGCCGCCCGCCGCGGCGTCGGGGGCGGTGGAGAGGCCTCGCACCGCCCATAGGCCCACAAACCACCGCATCCGACGCGAGGCCCCCGCCGCCGCTGCCGGGAGAAGGACGCGGCGCATGCTTCTACCAACAACAACTCTGCCCTTTCCGCACAGCTGTCCGCGCTGCTGTTTCTCTTCCTTCTGAAAATGTCACTCACTCCCTCTCTCCGCGGAAGGATGGTGTGTGTGTGTGTGTGTGTGTGTGTGTGTGTGCTTTTCTTCTTTTCCTCTCTGTTTTCTGCGTCATCCAATGAAAAAAAGAAACGAAAGGACTTCTGGCAAAAGTGAAGCACAACGCCGTCCAAAACGCAAGGCCGAACACACCGACACGCTCCCCCAGGAAGCTCAGAAGCAGAAGCACACACCGGGGGAGGAAGTAGGGCCGGGACATCCAGAAAGAACAGGGGCGCGAGTTTTCTTCTTCCCAGGGACCGCAATACAACAAGCTCCACAGGTACAGGAAAACAAGAAAAAAAACAAACAAACAATACGGATAAAATGACAGAGTGAAATATATGAGAATCAAACCACAAAAAATGAGGAGGGTCGGCCCGGGTGACTGAGGATGCGAGGAGACGAAGAATGTGACCCACATTTCCCCACCGTCATGCTTCTACAAAGGGGTGGATGCATCTCCGTCTGGAAAAAGTATGCGATTCACGCGCGTATTCTGCCCAACTTCCTCCGTCGATTCAGACAATGCCACGCCACCATTGCGCCTCTTGGAATCTCGCCTCTCTTCCGCCGACTCCCGCCCACTGGCGTCCTTCTGGCGGCTTTTTACACGTGGTGAGGACGAGGAAACATCTGGTGTGCCCTCAGCGACACCCAGCCGCCGCAACAGCACACGTTTCCAGTCGCGCAGCGAAAGACTCCACTGCCCTTGCGCCACATCACGTTCGTAAAGCGTGTAGTGAAGGTCGAGCAACTTCTGCGGCTCGTGTCTCGCCAATATATCACGAATTTGCTCCTCATAGTGCCGAATGCATGCCCGGTTGATCGCTGAATGTCTCCCCATCTCAGAATCGTGCAGCCGCAGCCATGGCGGAACGTGCTCAAACGCAGGGAGACGGACGCGAAAGCTGACGCTACCAACTACACTACACGGAGACGGCAACGCCGCCGATGGCCGCAGTTGTTGCTGCAGTGTCCGCATCGCAGCTGGACTTTGTGTAAAGGAGACCAGGGGAAGTGTGACACGCTCCGCCACGTCATACAGGCTGCGGGTGAGCAGTGCCCTAAGCGAGACCACCACGCGGCCCAGCTCGATCGACGGCAGCAGTTGCTGGGGTGTCGTTTGTCGAGGGGAGTTGTTGCGGCTACCGCGCGAGTTTGCGCGCAGCTTACTTCCACTGCGGGACAGGGATCGTGCCTCTCGAGCGTGCCGCCTTACAGCGAGGGTGAGGCGGTGGTCCTCATACCTGCCAAACTCGGGAATATCCAGACGAATATCCACACCGGATCCGTGCAACTGCTCGGACCAAATCAGACTCACTTCCTCGCGGTCACAGCTGGCACTCACTGTGTACTCGTTGCCTTCATTTTCCCGTGGCGGCGGTGTCCTTAGTGCCTGCTGCTGCTGCTGTTGTTGTTGTACGCGACGGCGCGGATCATGCAAGACGCCGGGCTCCGTCAGAGAGAGGGCCTCAACACACACATACACCGTGGCAGCGATGGGCCTCGGGGCGACACGGCGGCGCAGCTCCGCATGCACCGTCGCCGCACCTCCGGCCTCTGCCATAAGCGGCTGAAGAAACGGCAGGGCCTCGCGTTTGTACTTGCGGAGCAGAGAAACAGCGTCCTTCTCAGCCACCTCCAACTTCACTGGCGCCGCTTCGCGAGAGATAAACCCATTGCACTTTAGCGCCACCCCAAGACGTCCAATTTCCGCACCGTGGCTGTCGAACAGCGGAAGCCAGCACTCGTTAAGGCACCCCGCAACCATGCTCCTCAGACTCATCTCGGCGAAGGAGACAGTGGCGGATTGGAGGTAGCGGGACTGCGCCACTTTAAATCGCAGCCGCGCGTGCTGTGGATCGTCAAGTGTCACTACGGCGGTATTCTTTGCGTCGGATGGGGCAAATGTAATGTTTTCCGCGCCTGACTGCTGCGACGAACGCAGCACGGACTCCCCATTCAGGTACACCTTCACGTAGCAGGCGCAGGCCGGTGCAAAGTTGCAAAGTCCAATAAGATGTATTTCCATAAGTGATGGGTACGCATCCGGTCCGTACTTTTCCAGCAACGCATGCACAAATTCCTCCTCACGTCCCGCGTGATCTAAGAGAAGACATTCCACGCGGTGCATCTGATGCGGGGCATACCGGTAAAGCAACCGTCGAAGCTGCGAGCGAGCAGAGGCGGGCACCCTGCCTGCGATGGAGGTTCCACTGAAATTCACCGCAAAAAGTTCCACCTGCACGGACCCCTTAAAATGCGCATCCGCCGTGCCAGCATGCCGCACAAGCGGCAGCGTAAGCAAGAGTGTCTGCCGCCGCACTAAGGCGCGAAGCGGGAGGACGGCCAGACCCAAATCAGTTTCGCAGGCTCCAGAAGTTCCTTTCCCAACGATGGAGACAGCCACCTCGTCTAGTTCAGGGAGAACGCCGTGAAAGGTGACAGGGTCATCAAACTGGGCCGTGCCATTGTCTCGAACACGCACAAGGCCGCTTTTGTAATAATGCAACCCTGCATGAATCACGGCGTAGACTGCGCCGCGTTTGGAAATACTGCGATAATGCGCCAATTGGGCCCCTTCCCTCTCCCCCTCGTCGTCTTCGGCGACGGCCGCGGCCGTAGCGGGGCTGTCCCACGCGGGAACAGACGGCTCCCACCACTTCACGGAGACGCGAACATCGCAGAGTGGAGGACATGGACCAATGGTGCTTGCATAGTGCTCCAAATCGTGGAGCGAGGCGGCAATCACGTCCAGCCTGTGCAAAATATTACGGGCGTGCTTCCAAAGCAGCAGCCGAAGACGCGAGATGCGGGCTGCTTCTTCCAAGAGGTCGCCAGAGGCGTTGTGACCGCCCAAGTGACTCACATCGCCGTGCAGCGCGACGGTGATGACGCCGCTGGGCACCGCCCGAATCGTCCCAGCCGCCGCAAAAAGCGTATGCACGCGCACTCCCCCAACCTTCGGTGGGTTAGGGGAGAGGAGCACCTTCCCCACAATGGTCCCCCCAACGGCCACCGTCACACGAATAGCCTCCGCCGCGTCGACTATGAGCTGAAAGGCTTCCTTGAAAACAGCCACTTGCTGCAGCGGCACCGTCCGCGAGCAGTGACGCACGCTTCTGGTCTCCACCCACACTTGACATGCCGGGCCACTGAGCAGGGGCACTCCCTGCTCTGTCCTCAGCCCCTGCACATCAAACACGGTGAGCACGACCTTGTTGTTCTGGCGCTTCCCTGTCTGGTACTTTGCCAGTACGGCGTCCACCTCAGCCGGGGTCTTCCCCCAGCAGCGACCAACAAGCCACTCGAGACGATGCAGGTGCCGTCGTCCAGAAGACATCAAAAAGTGGCGAATGCGTCTCCGCAATGATTTCTCTGCCACCACCGACAACGGCGCTACTGTCGCCCGCGCGTTCAATCCACCGCCACGCAGAGTGATACACACTTCCCCACGCACCGAGGCGCCACTAGTGCCAGAATCCCCCACTAAATGCACCCACCGTGTGTGTGGCTCCGACTCCCGTATGTTCCGCAGCGAAAGAATAGCCTTCCCAAGACGTTTCATGCGTCCAGAGGCCGTCCGCACCACGGCTATCACCGTCAGCCAGTCCCCTTGTGGTCCTTCAAAGAGCAAGCGCTCCTTATAAAAGAAAGAGCTCTCCTTCAATGCAACCCGTGCCGTCTGCGCAGACGCGGCCGACGTGCGCAGACGAAAAAATAACACACAATGTTTTGTTCTGCCCAACCTCAGCATATTGCGACAGGAGCGTATTTCCACCTGAAGAAAGTCTCGCGGTGGTGTCATTGGTAGGTGCAGAGTGTTTTTTAGCACGACGGGGTGCTTGTTTATTGCTACTTCCTCCTGCTTCCTAGCGGCTATTGGCGTTGCCCAAGAGGTCCGGTCTGCCGTATCCCTTGGGTGGGGGCTGTGCGCCGTCGCTGCAGGTGTCTGGCAATGATGCAGAGGCGATGCATGTTGGGAGGGAGTTCTCACCCCACTGGAGTGTGCCGCAAATATCCCTTCAAGCTCCTCAAATGACCCGTCCAAAGGAGCCTGTTGGGTAACGCAGCTCTCACTGTCGTGGGTGTAAACAATGGAGTTGACATCCTCAATGGTTGCTACTTCAATAAACGACATTGCTGCCGCTGCTTCTTCTAATTCCTCCTCCTCCTCCCCATTTGCCGCTTTACTGGCAGTATTATTCCCTTCGTCCGCAGACGCGAAGGAGGCTAGAGAGGGGTAAATAGCGGTAGCTTTGTCCTTGGCGTCTTCACAGACCTGACGCACCCACGCCATTCGGGTAATGTGCTCCTGCACCATCGCCAGCTCCAGTCTGTGATTCGTGTTGTCCACGGTGTCAATGCAGACTATATGCTGCGCCCGCACTCGATTGTCCTCGGCCGTGTTTGTGGCAATGTACCCAAAGGCGTATACAACCTGCCGTTCGTAGCCCGCGCAGTGGGGGCGGTAGTTGCACTGAATGGCATTTTGGATGTATACCATCATCGCGGACCCGTCTACGGACAGCAGCTGTTCAGGTTCCTCTAGCTGGTCCGGTTGCAGGAGGACGGTGGTGACAACAACACAGTAATCACGCAGGGAAGAGTGCGTGGCTAGCCGCCTGCAGCGTCCATAGACCACCTCCCCTTCCTTTTTAGTGTCAATGATCATTGAAGTCTCCAGAAAAGCATCGTAGCGGTGCGCCTGCAGCGGGTCTCCAACGAGAGAGAAAAATGTCGCCAGGGAACACGCAATAGATGTCGAAATACGGTAGGCCTTCAAGAAGGGTGGCGCGGCAATGCACCGACGTGCCTCACACTCTTCCACGTCGCAGCCTTCGTGCCGCAGACGATGCTGCCACGAAGTCCCATTCTGCAGCTTAAGAAGGGGGCGGAGCACGCGCATTTGCGCCTGTGTGGGAGGGCCGGACACAGATATTTCTTGTCGTGCCTGAGGGGCCGGTTCACTGGGTTCCGAGGAGCCACCGCCGCCGAGAAGCTCAATCCCGCTCATTTGCTTCTCTTGCTGATGCTGATGCTGCTGCCGCAGAAGCGCTAGTGTTCCTCCTGACATCATCTGTTGCAGCATCTCACATAGGTTGCGTATTCGTGCAACCCTCTTTTCACATTGTCCCATGGCGGCGGCGACTTGTTCGTCCAGGGCACTCACAAACGTGAGGTGCACGCATGGCCCAGGCATCTCGTATGCGATAAAGGCAGAGAGGTGGATCCACCCCCGCACGGTCGCAGCAGACACGGGCACGGTTCCCTCGTCTGAAACGCTGTGAACGGCATCCACGTACACAGTGGCAGGGAGCGCGGGAGACGCAGCGCCCTGTAGCCTCACAGCTTTAGGCACACTGCCGTCGTGAGAAACACTCACCAGGGCAGTCTTTAAAAAACGTTGCAGCGGCTCATTGGCGTCAGCCGCCGCAGAGACGTGGTACAGCTTGGATTCACGCAGGGTAACGACCTCCAGCGGGGGATGGTTCCGGTACACGGTGCGCATCAGCAGTGCCTCTCCCCTTTTGCCGATCACGTCGTTACACAGCACCCCGTCCTCCTGGTACTGCAGATTTTGCGGTGTGCTGACGAAGGCCATGAAGACCTCCAGGCTGCAACGCATCGTCGTCTTTACCTTCTTTACGGTAGAACGCACGGTTCGACGAGTGTCCGCCCCGCCGCAAGATGCAGGAAAGTTGTGTGTCGTCGTTTGGACTTCACAGTGGGAGGCCGTCGCCGCACGAGGCGTGGGGGAACGCGACCGAGTCTCCGTGACGCACAACAACAGCGCTTCACGCGGAGCCCAATCGTTCTTCATGCCTCTCATCGGATCTACATATAGTGATTATACATATATATGTATATACACGCGTGTATGTGTATATCTGCTGAGCGGGCGAGAGAGGGAGGGGATGGGGCGTCAACAAAAGACAAGCCGTCCCACGTAGCCCCAACCGCCCTCGCTCCTTCGTGTTGCGGTGCCAAAGCAGCAGATGAAGGGGTAGGAAAGGGTAGCAGGGGACAGGTGGCCACAAACACGCCTCAGCCGTGACACGGGGGACAACAATAAACAGACACACACACAAATACACACACACACACACACACACCAGCAGCAGCAGCACCTTATGCGAGACTACGGCTTCCTCGCCGGCTTTCCTGCAAATCGTGTGTAGTTCGCGTAGGACTGCCCTACTTTCGATGCGGCTCGTGTCCAGGAGAGTGGAACCTGTTGCTGGCGCTGCTCTTCCCGCAACAATCCGGCATGTGCCCCTTTTTCCTCCAGGCTCATCTCGGCAAAGAAGGCAGGGGACTCAAAATTCGGAATGGTCGGCTCCCACTCCTTCTTCCGTCGGTTCTCCTCGGCAAAAGGCCGTTGTTTGTGTCCTAGCCTCTGCTGCTGCTGCCGTTCCCGCGTCAGCGTATGAAAGGCGTCCGATGCACCGAAGGCACGCTCCGTCTTCTTGACGCCTCCCGAGTTTGAAGCCTGTTTCCCACCGTGAGACCCACCCTGCTGCTGCTGTTGCTCCCCTTGCCCCTGACGACGTCGTCTTTCGTGGCGCAGAACGTACTGAATTCGCTGCTTAAACTGCGCGTTATGAAGCCGCCTTTCTACAAAGGTGGGTGACTTCCCGAGGGTGCGAGCCACCTGCCTGACTGTCGCCCCGCCGCGGATCATGCGGTAGATGGCGGTGTCATCTTCAAAGGTGAAGAACTTGCTATGGCTGAAGGGGTGGTTTGCGGGGTTCTTCAATTCCTCTTCGCTCACGCAGTTTAGGCCAAAGTTGGAGTTCATCAGCGTTTCCCACTCCAGCGTGGACTTCATGCTCCATGTGTCGCCGTCCGCAAAGTCATCCGGCACCCGGCGCCGTCGCAGCTTCGCCTTGGGTGTGAACCGTGCCGCGCTTGCGCCGTCGCCCTGCGGCCTCGCCTGCGCAACCTGCCCGGCCTTTGCGCCGGTGGCGAGCGTGCTGAGCGCGCCACTCGTCTGCAGCACCTCGTACGCCGTGTTGACGACCTTCATTTTTTGGTCGTCGCCGCTGCTCAGGTCGGGGTGGTGCAGTCGGGCGAGGTGGAGGTACTGCGCCCGCACCCGCTCCCCGGTGACGTGCTGCGGGTTGCTGGCGTCAAGCCCCAACACGCGGAGGGCGGCGGCAACGTCGGCGGAGGTGGGGGCCGCCGCCGCCGCCCACAAACCGCGGGAGGCGCGTAGCATCGCGCGGCCACGCCCTCCGCAATTTTTTTCCCTGCTTTTTTTTTGTTTTGTTTTCACGGCTAACGCACCCGCCGCCTCGCTTGCGGGCAGCAGGCAAAAAAAAAGGAGAAAAAAAAAGAAACGGAAGAGGAGGGAGAAGCCGTGCGTGACGGAGCCGCACAAGCGGGCCCACGGCGGAAGGGCAGCGACGGAGGAAAGCGGCGTGGCACGCGACACCGACCCGCCCATAGAAACATTTTAACATCTAAAATCCCCTCATTTCCCCAGAAGAAAAAAAAGAAGGCTGGGCCCAATTGCAGAAGCAGGCAAAGAAGAAATAAAATAAAAAGGAAACAATACGGAACCTACACACGTGCAAGGCCACAAGCCCGCACTAATACAGCAAATACAACAACAGAGGGCGGGAGACAGGCTTGCACATGCGCGCATCCGCTTGACGCACGCGTTCCATCGCCACTCTCTCTCTCTTTGCCTACGCACCTCGGTGTTTCTACCTGGCCGGCGGGAGCGCATTCACCCACAGCAGAGCGAGCCGCGACTCATCCGCCGCCAACGCGCAGGCTAAAGCTCCGCCCGGGACACATGTCGAATTCTCCCCACCATTTCCTCCTTATCCCCTCTAGCACATGGGGAGTGAAGGAAAACGAGAAAAAGAAACAAAAAAAAATGCAGCTCAATTTATTATGCGCAGAAGTGCCTCCCTGATAACCAAAAACTTAAAAAAAAATTAAAAATTGAAAAAACTTCACGAAAGTGAGAACACAGCAAATTTCATTTCTATACAGTTAATTCATGCATCACACGTGCGCAACAAGACATGCGTAGGCCACTTTACGGCAGTAGACATTATCAATGCAGCGGATCCAACACACACACGCACACGCACACGCACACGCACAATGTCCATCTCCCATCCCCGCAAAGCACTGTTAAATACACAACCACGATCGCAGAACGTAGAAAAAAAACACTCATCGGAACAAAGATTTTGCTAGTATCTAAAGATGTGTTAGTTGAAATCAAAGTGTGACACACACACACATACAGGAAGTGTAGATTACATCTCATATTGCACAGTAGTTGAACACCAGTGGTAGGTACACACATATACATAATACATATCCGCGACATTACCGCGTTTATAGTGCTATTGCAGCTCTACCGAGCTTTANCTTATACTTCGTCCCACGT